ATAATGCCTGCTACAGCTGATCTTCTCTTGACCCTATTTAAAATGCTGGACAGCACTCCAGTGGGGGAAATTAATCCATACAGATGAAAGAAAGTGCATCCCAGGTGCTAGTTAAAAGCTCTTCTTAAAGCGAGATAGGCAGTAAGTAGTTAGCTACTTTCCTATTCACTGCTTTTCATCCGTTTCTAGCACTGTTTCATCTTTGCTGTGGCAAATACCAGATTTGGAACTTGAACCTAAATATCTGTTGATAAAAAATTATTAACATTTTCCTTTATTTATTTATTTATATTAACTTTGTTTCTAGAGCTTTTTGTGCTGTACTTTCTTTAATCACACTCTCCGTTCCCCTCATGTTGTCTGATTTATCAGCAGCGTCTGCAGCTGAAGATGTAAAGGATTACCTTGGCAGACTCATATGTTTCCTCTGAAATCCTTCAAAAGGAGATTTAACATGTACAATTATGCTCCTCTCTTAAGTTGGTTTCTGTGTGGGTAATGTGCTTTTGCAGCTCTAATGTGGCTCATGTTTTGGTGTAACCGTGCACATTTTCTGCAGGAGCTACTTTTAAAACAAATCCATTTTGGTTTGGGAGAGGAGGCACAACTTTTCAATCCTCACGCTGGCAAACCTGTGCATGGCCTAGACAGTAACTGGCTATGAAGAACACCAAAATCCCTCGCTAAAGGTGTGAGTGGATCAGCCTGCCTGCTGAACTTGTCATTGCTCCTCCATACTTTAATCCACAATTTTATTTAGGAGATTTTATGCCCACAAGAAGGAGTAAGGATAACTAAGGTTAAAGCAGCAAGGAGGGGTGCCAGGGCACCCTGTGGAGGTGGAGAACACAGATCCAGGATGCCGTTACAATACTGATACAGTGTTTCTCAACTTTTGACTTCTACCAACTCATTTTATGTTACTGGAAAGGAGGGAAACTCTACAAGCAAAGGACGACACCCCAGAAAGAGAGGGGTTTATTGGAAATAACATCAAAAGACTTAGTAACATCAAGGAAGTTTAAAATTTGGTTTTGTAATGGACTGAGTTGCCATTTACTATTCTTGAAGTGGGAGGTAAATTACAGGAATCACAAATGTCTAAACATGTCTGGTCATTGTGTGTTGATCTGCGTTATTACCAATTCTCTTTTGTGTTGATCATTATCAACAGTGTAAAAAGTAGATGACCTGTTCCAATAACTGTGCAAGACAAGCGATAGTTACCGTTGTAAACCACCCAGACTGATAAACTATGTAGAAAAGCTCTCCGTTTTCTTTTAGCCATCAGCTTAGGAAGTGCCCGCTATCTGCACACTGTCACTGTTTCTCCAAGGCTGTGCCTCTAATATATGGTGTTTCATTGTCAGCATCAGTGCATGTTCCTTTAGGCTTTCTGCGAGTTCTTCGAGCAGCAGGAGGCAGGTGGGGTCTTCCTTAACCCAGGGTCATTTCAGAGATTTAGTAGTTCCATGTTTCTTACAGCAATACCTGCCTTACATTGGAAATTACAGGTCCCAGAGTCAGCTAGCCAGGAAGATGAGAAGGAAGCCTGGTACACTGTGGTCTGCAGTTCCTGACATCGTCTAGGGTGTCTTTATGTTCTGGGACTTCATAACTCATTCTGCTTGCTTTCCAAACTCTTTTACACATGTTTTTTTTTGGTTAAGCAGGACATCTATCTAAATTAAAAAAAAAAAAGAAAGAAAAAAAGAAAACCAAAAACTGTCCTTAAAGAATCATGTTAAAACATTAACATGAGAAATGGCTTCGTGTGTTTCTAGGCATGCCACAGAAATTATTGAGGTGAATGGATTCCATGGCAGATTTTCTATAATTCTCTGCATCCTTGTGAAATATTTGTTGTCTGCTGTGTTTGATGCGCTCTGTCCCATCGCAGGTCAGAAAGGGGGGATGAACCAGCATACTGAAACTTTCAGGCCTTTTAAAGAGAAACTTCTCATGTTTCTCTTCTTAAGTGTCAGCTGATGTGAGACCAGACTTTTGTCTTGTAATAAAATGTGGAAGTATTAAAGAAAAGTGGTAGATCATGAATGGAGGGAGGAAGAAAGAACACAGGTTAGGAAAGACAGCTGTGTTTAGTGACAAACACATTTGTCCAAAGGAATAATTTCCACTGGCCAGAAGCCCAATTAAACACATAAAATAGAAATCCAGAAAAACAGATTAATGAGCCAGTCATTAGCAAAGGAGGAGGAAAAAGAAAAACCCAGCTAATTCTGTACTGAGCATGACAGATGAGCTCACAGCAAATAATTGGGTGACATTCCTCAAATGTGAACTAAAAGGAGGCATTAGAGGGCAAAACACTATCATAATCTCTGGAATTTACAGTGTTGGAGAGTTTGCTCATAGGAAAAGGAAAAGTTCATCAAAATAAATTAAGTTGGGCCTTCCAAAATTCATTCTCTACCACAGTGCTTGCCAAAACTTTATTGAAGGCTTGATCATTTTTTGGAACTGTTGTAACCGTGCATGTAAATCATGCAAAGATGAGGTCCTGGCTGGGGAAAGCTTCACACAACTCCTGCCAACAGAATTGTGGGTGGCTTCATATTAGCTGGCTCAGAAAGACCACAGACCACAAAGATTTCTATTTCTAAACATTTGTCAAGGTGACCTAGTCCAGGTAGAGGATTGAAAGGGAGTTTAGCTAATGCATAGTGAACTTGAACAGTGTTTGAATCCTACCTTTCTGCCTTAAAAAACAGACAAACAAGCAAACAAACAAAATATCTAAACCAAAAAGCCTCCAGGTACCAGTTTGCAGTGGCATAAACCCAAAACCCTACGTAAAATCTTTTGAGTATGGCAGACTTGGAGTAGATCCTGTCTTGGCACAGAGGGGGGAATTTAATCACCCCTTGATATTTCTGCCACTCTGTTTTCATGTATTGAAGATTGTTGGACTGTTCCCAATGTTAATTAGTCATCACAGCATTTAGAAATTATGTAAATATTCATGTCTGCATCTTAAAGACAAGTCGATGACCATGTCTCAGCCCATCAGAAGAGGTGGATATTGAACCCAGGGTCCTTATCAAGTAGTCACTGGACACAGTCAGTCCTATGTGGACTCTGCTACAAATAATGGTCTGGTGCTGAAATAATGAGTGGTGTAAAGTGAGTACATGTGGCAGAGTTATATCATTTAAGAATTTGGATCTTCCACTGGAGGTCAGAAATATCACCAAGAGAAGATATTTAAATATTCCCTGTGCTATTTAAGTAATATGACCTAGAAGTGTGGGATCCTTTGGGCAATGCTTGTACAACTCACATACAATTACTGCAAACATGAATTTTTGCCTTTGAGTTGGACTGAGCGTCTATCACCTACATAGTCTGTTCTTTCCTGTGAAAACCTGATTTTTATGTGATAGTATTAGATGGGAAAGATATCCTTCAGAACTAACACTCACAGCCCTTTCACCATCCTCATAGCTGGAGAGCAGGACCCCAAAATGCTACTGTGCCAGTCCACAATGCACTTTACATGAAGTGAGAGTCACGTGACTCCTGTTCTCTCCCTTTCTCTGCCACTGGCTTGTTTTGAGACCGTAAGCTTTAGTTTTCATGCCTGTGTTTCCCCTTGACTTTAGCTATATGTTGTCTGTATAGTTTGTTTGCTGTGATATGGGTCATTTTTCTGCCTTCTTACGCTGTGTGTGGTATAATGGTCGTCATTTTTTTCTTTTGGGAGCGCTAAATGCAGCTGTGATAACGTTACAAGTAAAAATGGCAAACAAGCAGAAGGGGAAGTCTTAGTGTAGAAGCCTGTCCTATTTCTAAACCTCCCTTTCTTTCCAGTTCTTCAAACTGTCGATAGAAAAGCCTTATCTTGAGTTGATTAGATATCAAATTTCATGACCAATAACATTGTGTCCTTCGAATGACAGCTTCTCTGGGGAAGAAAGCCACTGTCTAGAGGTGATGTCATTACTGAGAATATAATTGATGCTATAGCAATATTCCATGTAAGCTCATTCTGAAATATCACTGTCAGATAAAAGGGAGTATATCTAGGAGAGAGTCTAGGACCTTTCTGTTAGCTTTATTGGAAACTTAAGAAGCCAAAAAATGACATTCCATATAATAAAGAAGTGCTTTGTGTATTGTTTTATCTTAAAACCTGCAAGACTGCCAAAACAGCAGAATATAGGAAATACACCGATGTAAGCCTTGTTGTAGCCTGGCGAGAGTAAGTGACCAGTGACAGGTTTAAAATCCCATATTTTACCAATTATCAGGGCTAGATCTCATTGATGCATGGCATTTATGTGTAGCCTTTACAGCTCATTCAGTCCATAAAACCACAGATTTGGATGTCTGTCGGTTCCCCCCGACATCCTCGTTCAGAGACAGTATGATTTCAGAGAAACCAGTTTTACAGTGAGAAAGAGCATCTAAGAGCTTAGCTCCAGCTTTCCAAGAGCGCATTCATTGCATTTACTGTTTGCATTAAACGGTGCTAGTGTGGATATCTCCTGTTAGTCACTGTAAAAGGTTGTTGGAAGACAACCCTGGCCCCAAGGGACTTACAGTGCAAACAGACAAGGCTGAGAAGCAGCAAAGAGGTGTTATCTCCTTCTCACAGGAGAAGAACAGAAGCACAGAGACTTTAAATGACTTGCCCAAAGTAGTTGTGCTGGAACCATGCGATGAAACCAGATCATCTTCTTTCTTCCACTCAAGACCTTAAACTTTATACCCACTTTTCCCTTTTTCCTGAGATGTTAAAATCATGCTGGGTTTGAAGCATGAGAGACAAAACGTAAAGTTCAATAGCACAGCTTAAATAAATAATGCTCCAGCCCTCTCAAGTCTGGGATTTCTTTGGAGTTATACAGAAGCTTTTAGGGACAGCTGTGCAGGTCATAGGAAGGATATCTGAAAGAAAGGTTGTCAAAACCTCTTAGAGGTGTCAGCATAGGGTGTCTTGGAAGGGTCATCACTCACTCTCTTTGGTGTTTCCATAGGTGACAGCTGGTGGAAGAGCAAATTACTATGTGTCGTACAGACGGGAGCCTTTCGCACAGATTAAATTGCCTAAATACTCTCTTCCTAAGGTGAGTGCGCCGTTTACGAACACAGGCATGTAGTATCTTGAATAGCACAGCCTACCCAGTGGTGAAGCACCTCGGTGGGGTTCCTCTCTGGGGAGCTCCATTTGTTGTGCTGCTTGAATGATCCTTCTTAAATACAGATTTGGGATTGTGATTAGTGTGATTTGAGATTAGTGAGCATTTCGGGAGGAACAGTTTCTTTTTTCCTCTGTAAAGAGCAAATGGGAATGAACAGGTACCTCAGAAAATAGAGCTCAAACCAACTTCTCCTTGACCAATCTTCTATGAACACCTTTCCCCAGTCCTACTCTGTTCTCTATTAATGATTTCTCTGTAAGCCTGGCCATGACACTGAGAGTCCTGGAGAGTGGTTAGGATGCTGAGCACTACTGCAGTCTCCATACAATGAGAGAAGCACAGGGTATAGCAGCTCCACTGTCCCCATTCTATAGCTGGATGTTGCCAAGAAGTCATGGAGGTGGAGTTGGCTCCCTGAAAGTTGTGCCTTATCGATGCTTTGGACACACAGAACCACTGCTGCTTAGGAGATGACTGAGGTGGCTTAAGATTAACACTGACTGGCAAAGCTGGGAGGGAGGGAAGTTAGTACTTCTAATACAACTGTTCCTGGATTTACCTTCTTAGGCCTTAGCTTTCTACCGGATCAAATGGTGCAAGCCTCAGCAAGGAGAATATGCCCCTGGAATTATACTCAAATTCCATAGTGTAGTCATTGCTTGGGATTGTGTAGAACAGAAGGGACCAATCTTTCCAGTGTCTTGGCTGGATACAAGTTTCTGGGTAGCCTAATGGGCAGCTGAGACCACTGCTGCTCTTTGGAGCCTCAGAATGGCTGTTGAGGGCTGTCATAGAGGGCTGATAATCAACAGTAATGGCCTTCCCCTTCCTTCCACAAGTGAAAATTTTGGTGGGATAACTGTAAGATAGTTGGCTAGATTTGCCTTGTGGGCTGGATCTACCCTTCTGATTGCCTATGGGATATCTGCGGTCTAGCAGATATGGCATATTTGCTTTAACTTGTACCTGAAAACTTAATAGTTGTGAGAAGTTTGCATCTCAAACTCCCAGTGTTGCACCTCAACTTCTTCCCATTTGGGTTGATCACAGTCCACAGTGTATTGACACCTGCATAGCACAGATATAGTTTCTTTTGTTTGTCATTCCATAGTGGTGGTGTGGGATTCAGAATGTCTGACCACACACCAACTTTTGGAACCCTGCAGCCATTTTTCAGGAGAAAAACATTGTTTATGCTCCCACCTTATGGATTGGCCTTGAAAGCTGCCCCTCATTAAAAAGACAAGTGGGTAGAGAGAATGACTGCCCTATGATTGTCCTGCTTTATTGATTGATGCTGTCACAGGTTGCTGGCCTGTTATAAGACAGATTTGTTGGTGGCCCTGGTTTAGAATTGGTGCATAGTATAAAATCAGGGATACTTTTGTCATTTAAAAATCAAAAGTACTTTTAAGGTGTCATGGCAAAATTTTCTAGCCGTGTAAGGAGGCTTGTTTATGCTGCCCTTAGTCACTAGAACATTTTTGCTGTACAGTAATAACTATCCTGTCAGCTGTAGATTAATGAACTCTGCTGAAGTTGTACATATGTGAGGCTGGCAAATAGGGTAATGCAATATTTCCACTGCAACTGGTCAAAACAGATTGAAGTCATTGCGTGTTTTGCTTTATTTTCATACTGCTGGAATAGGTTGGGTATGTACTTAATCTTTAAGGATTTAGAGCTATTGGGCAAGAGCAAACTTCCTGATTTAGTCTTCCTTCATTGAGGGAAATGGCAAATCTCCCACTGATTGCACTCACTGGGACAAAATTAGGCCCTCAAATGTTTTTTCTCCCCATCCCATGCTGATAGGCTATGTCAGGTCTATTTGAAATAGCCCCATCTAATCAACCCTGACTTTTCATCTAGATACCTCACACAGAAGATTAAGTTGCCTCCTAGACAGGATGGGAATATTGAGCTGATCTTCCCCGAGATATTCTTCCCAAAAATCACATCACTCCGTCCTTTGGGAGACTTCCAGAATTACGGCTTCTTGATGCAGAAACAATGCAAGAAATTAATCAAGGCTCCTTGGCACCCTGGGGAAATTTTAAATAGATACAAATAGATAAATGAAGTCCCACATAACCACAGTGATTTTGCTTCTAGCTGAACCAGTGTTAGTTTGTTCAACAACAGTGGCAAGGATGAAGTGCTTCAATACTCATCACCACCCTGGAAATCATTTCCACGAACCTGATTAAAAGAATACTGAGAAAATGCACTGTCAAATCTCTTTGATATTAAAACTAAATGGGGAAACCCTTGCTGGACCTTCATATC